TAGTGTAAAATTTTACGAGTCTAGACGATTTGTACAAACCCTAATAAAGTTAAAGCATGACTGCCAAATTTAAAAAAAAAAAAAAAAAAACTATACTTATTTAAAATCTATTTTAATATTTTCGAAATAATTCGAATATTTTTAAATTAACTATTTTATTTTCGTCTTTATTAATGTCAATGCTAATAAAATGACTCAATTTTTTCCAATTATTTTTATTTTATTTGAACATTTTTAAAATATTTTAATTATTGTGCAATATTTTTATGCTTAATATTATAGATAAAGTTCTAAAGTTTTTGAAATTAATATAATAATACTAAGTAATTTGTATATTTTCTATATTTTGAAATAATTTCTTTATATTTGTTTTTCTCGAATAAGACTATGGGTACTGTTTTCAGTTAATTTATTACGTAATATTTAGATTTTCTTACGATCATTACATTTTTCGAAATATTTCGACCCTTTTATATTTGCTGTTGGCCTATTTCTAATTATTTTTAACTTTATTAATTAATTTTAATATTTTTCGAAATATTTTGAATTATTTTGCTCTCATAGTTCTTATATATTTATCTAAACTATTTTAATTTATTTCGAATTTTCTTTATAATATTGCGTAAATTCTTGTGTAATAATGCGTAATAATCTTACGTTATATTTCGTAATTGTATATTTCGCAATATTGCAAAAATTATTACGTAATATTATGGTTTTCTTACACTTCGTAAATTATTGCGCAATATTACGGCCTATTAAATTTGCCGATATATATATATATATATATACATATATATTTAACGTATATATATGTTTTCTATGCATTGCATATTTATTGATCATGTATGAATCGCACCAAAGCCAAACTCTATTAAATAATGACCTGCATATGTGTTTGCCCCCTTTTTTTAAAAAAAAAATTATTATTATTATTTTAATGAAAAATTGTTATTGTTAGTAGATATACAAACTAATATGCTACTATTGTTGAATTCATGTCCCAATACTGTGTCCCATTGGCATACTCACATAACTACAAGTTTTTTTTTTGGCTTTGTTTTTGTGTTTGTGTTTGTATTTGTTGTTTTTTTTTTGTTGTGTTTTTTTTTCTTTTTTTGTTACTTCCTATATATATATATTATTTGCACGTAGCACCATAGGAAGAGCTAGCAATCGTCATTGCTGTGTGGTCTTTCCGCCATCAGATATGTTATGCTTCTTTGAGTTGTTTTTTCTAAAACAACGTTGCTCACTGTGGTTTGTTTTTCTGCATATTAAAAAGTATGGACCCTTCTGCAGAGTTTCTTATCTTTGCAAGACCACTTGTTTTAGTTAATACAGATTTCTCTTCTATTAGACCATTTGGTGTTTAATCTTGATGGTCAATATGTATTTGTCATCTGTTTCTTAACTGTAGTTGCATCAAAATTCTGCCTCTTGACTTCGGTATCACAATTAAGAGGAGTTGAGTCATAGTTCATGATAGCAGTTACTTATCATATACCATACCCGCATGAAAGCTTTACTGCAGGCATAATTCATTGATGTGATCTCTGTAACTGTTTAGCTCTTGCTTCTGGTTCTCATAAATTATTAAAACCATGTCCATATAAGATTTGAAAGCAAGGAGCCACTCTGATATATTTGTGAATGCTGTGTGGCATGAATGTTTCTTAATCAAAATGGAGCCCCTTCTGTCGACTGCAGCACAGGTTTGTCCTCAGTTTCCTTTATAGTGATTAGGAGGTTTTTGTATGAGAAATCTTGTAAGTTTATGTATGAGTTGAATGCTATTAATTTCCATAGCTTGGTCGAAATGTTGGGCTTGTATAGGAGGCTTTGATGATTTTCTTGCCCTCTTGCTAGTTGGTGACCCACCAAATTCGTATATTCTCAGTTCTTGCAGCATGCGGGTTTAAGAAGTTTTGAATCTCATACATCTGATCGAATTGTGCATAATTGATGGACAGGTATTTCCTTGATGCTGATTTGAGTACAGGCAACTTCACCACTGCTGATATTGGTGATGTCTGATTTGCCAGCATTCCTGGGCTTTGTAGTTGCAGACTTACTCTTGAAATTAACATAATCAAATTATTCAATGTTGGGGTTGGAGGGTGATTACCTGAAGCTTGGATGTTCTGAATCGTTTGCTCTGTTGTACATGCTTGTGGTACATCCGTCAGGCGATGTGGGTGCTGTGGAGATGCTGTATAGCTAGTTGAAGCTAATGTGCGAGATATGGTACTGTTGTTGTTTCCTGATTGTGTAAGATTGGCAAGCATGTTGTTGATGTTAGGATCTTTGTTTGTCGAACTGGGTGTTGATGTACTGCTTAATAGAGTTAACAACTGATGTGGTCGAAGCCCTAATCAACTCATCGATATATGACTTTATGATAGATTAATGTTAATATTCAGCCATTGACGTCCAAGGCCCACTATCGTGCTGCTAGAAGCAGGCGTGGCTGTTGCAGGTTGAGGAAGGTTGTCTTTTGCTTTTGTAGAGTCATGTAACTTTGGCTCACATTGGCTCATGATTAGATGTGAAGAACTAAACAACTACTGTTAATGTCTATTCTAATTATAAGTTTATTATGTACATTACTATGCGTTACTATTTACTATTTATATTATTATCCTTTTAATATTTTATTTTATAATATTACTTTAAGACAATTATCTGAGAAAAATTTTAGAAAAATTATTTGAGAAAATGCAAGTTAAATAAATTGGTTCTTGTAAGAAAGGGTGTGTAGAAAATTGGCTTTTTTTAGTGACTTTTATATATTGCCATTTTGGTGGCTTTTTCGAATTTGTATGAATTTTTGATCAGTTGATGATTTCATTTTTACCAACTGATACTGATTCTTGATGTGTATAACTGGGCCGAGTTGAACACGTGTCATGTGTCCTCCACTTTGGCATGATACCTGATCTGACGTCAATTTTAACTACCGATTGATCTTATAATATGGGTAGATAGCAGAGTCAAGTACTTATCATAACCCTGCCTAGTGCTCCCTGTCTTTTTAATTTGTTGACCCTCGTTAACATGCAGTAGTTAAATCTTTTCAAGATCTTTTAAATATAACTATTGAAACTGCTAACATTATTAGATCAAAAGACATTTAAATATAACTATTGAAACCACTAATATCATTAAATTAAAAGACATTTAGCTTATGAATTCTTGAAATATTTACAACCAAATTTGCTGATATGTTCTGTTGAAAGAATATATAGATAGGTAATTTAATTCATTGCAAATGTAAATAGGCAAACTTCCTCACAAAAGTAGCTATCATCTCATATAATAATTAGTGTAACTTGAAGAATATATACATAAATAGATTTGCATTGTGAATCGGTTGGGAGAGTAATTATTGATATTGCGTCAAATTTAGCATTATTCACTTGGTTTAGATTTATAACGATTACACACGTTAAGCAAGGTCAGGTTATTACTTAAATAGATCAACTTTAAATATTCGTGATGTAATGATGTATTAATTTAATATATTGGAGAGGGTAATTATATATAACAATAATAATAAAAAAATACAATACAACAATAATAAGTATATATGTAATATAATATCAAATACAAAATAGGAGAATCCAATTCTTATTATATACACTATAAAGGGGCATCCATAAGTTATGTTAAACCAGTATTATTTTAGAAATCTAAAAGATAATACAAAAATAATATTATATAGTACTATCTTCAAGTTTTCTATACAATACAGTATTGGTTTAACATAAATTATGATGCTCTCTAACTAAGGCATTACATCTCCCACTTGAAATTATATTAAGGTGAAAACAAAGGCTTTAAATATATTTTAATTTTCTATGAACTACTATGCTATCTTTTAATTAGAGTTGGCAAATTATTGTAATTTTATGTAATTTTACATAATTTTAAGTAATTTTGCAAAAATCAATTTTCATATAATTTGTAATATGATTAATGCTAGCTAAACTTTCATATCTAATGCTAGTATATGAATGCCATTAAGAGAGAAAACCTGTCATTGGGTTTTTAGTTATATTTTGTATCAGATACAATTCCTAATCAATTAAATATATTATATCTATTACAAAATATAATTAAAGCCTGATAGTAGATTTTCTTTTTTATAGTCAAATAAAATAAAAATTGTCATTATAATGAATAAAAGTTTATTAAATTATTTACATTATTTGATTATATCATTTGTATTACTTATATCATATAAAAAAAATAAAACATGTAAAATTTTATAACAGACTATATAAAAGAAAAATAAAACATGTAAAATTTTATAACAGACTATATATAAGAAAAATAAAACATGCAAAATTTTATAACAGAATTAAAATGGCCTGAAACAAAATTGAAGATATACGAGATGAATATATTATAAGAATCAATAAAAAGGGTAAAGAACATTACAAATACAAAGCATGCAAGAAGGAATAGGCAAAAAATATAACTTGGTTGCAAGAGCATATTAATACATATGCTTTACACAATTTAAATGAAACTTCCAATACTAATAAAAGACAAAAAGTATCAAACCTTATCTCGCAAGAACAAATTGAATTGGAATTTTTGCTTGCATGTGTCTTTTACATATTAGTGATGGATGGTTGAATATTAACAAGTTATCAATAATTAATTACATGATTACTACACCTGATCTGATTTTTTATAAATCAGTTTGTACTAAAAAAGAACATCACATCGTGAAAAATATAGCTAAAGGAATTGAAAATGTAATGTGTGAAATTAATATTGATAAGTTTGTCTGTGTAATTACAGATAATACAAATAATATGAAAGCTGCGTGAAATATTTTAAAAAATAAATATTCAAACAAGATCTTTCTCGGATATAGGGCTCATGGAATAAACCTTTGGGCCAAGGATATTCTTAAAAATAGATGGGCCCTACAAATTTTTAAAAAAACTAAAGAGTTAGTTTTGTATTTCCATAATCATTAAATTCCTATGGCAACTCTTCATCAGTTACAAAAAGAAACTTACAGTTTTGAAATTGCTCTTGTTTTAACTATCGATACAAGGTGGACATCAACGTTTGAGTGTCTTGATCATGTTTTATGAACACAAGCTGCAATTTATGCTATATTAACTGAAGATAGCATTGAATTAGATAAAAATATCAAAGCAATTATCATGGATTATACAGTTTGGGTGGATCTAAAAAGACTTCATGATTTTTTAGAACTATTCATAAATTTTATATGTCCAAACCATATCTCTCTTCTGCATATAAAATATTGCAAGATTTAAAAAAAAAAATTATAAATAATATACAAATTCTAGTAGAACTTCATAATAGTACTTTACAGGCAGCTAGAAATTGATAGGCTAATTTTCTATACAATCTGACAATTATAGTTGCATATATACTTGATCCTAGGTATTGTGGTGAAGATCTTGATCTCCAAATATGGGCAAATATAATAAATAATGAAGTGATTCGAATTGCAGGCGTTGATAATGAAAGTCAAGTATTAGATGAGTTAGCAGAATATATTGGAAAATCGGGTGGTTTTGCAAGAAAGTATTTATGGGAAAATCTTACCTCAAAACCACTTAATTGGTGGAATTTATTAAGCATGCAATATCCTATTTTAAGTCAAGTTGCACACAAAGTCTTATCAATCCCTGCCACTTCTGCAGCTAGTGAGCGTAACTGGTCTGCCTATGGATTCATCCATTCGAAGCTGCGTAATAGAATGCTTACTCAAAAAGCAGATAAGCTTGTCTATATTTATTGGAATACACGAATTCTCCGTCGGTTAGGAAGATCTGTATTAATTAACAATTCACAAGAAATATCTGTTAATTCAGATAATCAAGAACTTGATATTAATGAAAATGAAGAGCTTAATAAAGACTTTACCGATTTTTCTAATTGGCTTCTTAATACATTCGACAATTGTGAGTATGAATTCGATAATTATTCTGAGTGAAAATCTATATACTTTTTTTTTTCTTGTACCGGTAATATGCAAAAATGAAGGTGATTAGTCTGCTAAAAAAAAAAACTGAAACAAACAGCAAAAAACGTAGCTAAACCTTAAATAACATTTAGGTTATCCTTATAATGTGAGCATCGAATATTGGTCAATTTTTATAATGCCGGTACATTCTTAATGTAAGGTTACATCATAATCATGTGCTAATTTTCTATTAATGTAAAAGTTACATACAATTTCGTAAATTATAATGTAATTTACATGTAACGTAAATTGTAATACATGTAATACCAACCCTACTTTTAATCCCAACATTTTTTTTAGAAATTGCACATCATAAAAGCCACTGAAAATATTGCTCATAATTTTGCTCAGACAATATTTATCCGCCCTCCTATCATACGATCATATACCATCTAATGTTTATCATATGACAGTCATACGATCATATACCATCTAATGTATTTAGTTTAATGAATTCAAACGCTTTAATTTTAAAATTTAATATGTGTTGAGTGGATTAAGAAACAAGTTTAAGTTAGTTCGAAATTCTTTTAACAATTTGAGTGGATTTAAAATTTTGCTTCTATTTAAAATCAACTTATATTGATCCTAAATCTATCCATTCCGACGTACAATAAATTCGTATTACAAATTTAAATATTAAATTTTGATTACATAGATGTTTATGTCAAATAAAAATTTCATAAAAAAGAAATAATAATAAAGAAAAAAAAAGAAAATTTCATAAAAAAATAAATAAATAAATTTACACCAATTGCGTAAAATACACCCACATTTTTGTATATGGTGGTGAATTGTTTCTTCGACAACAAGCTTTAGTGCTGCAATTAGTTTTTTTACATCTGACAGCAATTAAGTCAATTTCCTTGAGTCCTTTCTCATGGGATGGTTTTTTTTTATATAACAGAAAAAATCTTCATTTCATACGAAGAGTTACTGTATTATAAAATATTAAATTAAGTATTTATTAGAAAAATTAATTTGAAAGCTCATCTGATCACTTGATGCAGTTTTCAACCGTACAAATTTGTGTCCTTATATTGTTCGCTTAATTAAAAGAAGCTCTTCAACTGTATCACTATAAAGAATTTTGTAAATATAAGTACCCAATGTTTAAAACCCGATTATGTGAAAGATTTGAATATTAGAGCTTTCAAATAAGTGGCGCATTTTGAAATTAATGAGTGTTAGAAAAATCTTATGTTTTTCAAGATTTTAAAATCGGAAAATTTTTATAATACTTTGTAAAAAAAAATAAATAAAACTTTTCGTTTAAACTGAGATTTCCTTTTTTTTTTAATATGATTAAACATTCATCACAACAATCTTAGCCATTAAATAGTATTTATTTTTTCCTTTGGTTAACGTAGGTTTTCAATATTCGGTCAAAAGACTCACGACTCAAAGTGATTCCATGGTTATTACTGATTTATTTATTTATTTATTATGTCAAAATTTTAACTACTATTTTTTCTTATTTGTATCAAGATCACAGTCCCTGATTTTTATCCAATCCAATTGTAAGTATGACATACGTATTATTATTAATGCAAATATTAATATTTAGAAGAAATTAGAATAGTGATAGTATCGTTGTTGGATTAGTCACGACACCAATTATTTGCACCATGACTATATCTAATTAATAGTAATTCTTCAATTAAAAAATTACCTTTTTTGCGCTCTACCAAAAAAAAAAGTTTCGCAAGAAATTTTGATATAATAAAAATAAAATTATCGATTGTCTGATATAAGTTCAATGTACTAAAAATTTTTCCACTTTTTAAACTTTTCTCCAAAAATTTTCTCGCAAACTTCTTTTCAAAATGTTATCTTTATTACCTCTTGAGTATTACTAGTGTAATTATTAATAACATCCACAGAATTATAAAAGCTTACTTTCACGCGCTATTATAAATTGCGATAGTGCAAAATTATTATACCAATATGTGGAGTGAACTAGGACAATAATTTTAAAGATGAAAGACTTGTAAAAATATTCCTTTTAATGTTAAATTCTAAAGAGCAAACTTAATTGAAATTACGATCCACATCAGCCAGCATCACTATTTTAAATATACAACTTATATCACATCTGTTACCAAGAAACTGTATATTAGAGTTGGATTACCATTGCAAAGAATCTAATAACGAAATAAACAAGTTTGAAGATTTCATTAAATATTCATTAATTAAAATATTTCTACAAATTACCAAGAATCGAATCTCAAATAATTTTGTCTTGAAAGTAACACTTGCAATCGAAACACTACATTACCTTCGTAGATTTATATCATCCATATGATGTCAGTGATGGTTTTGATCTTAACAATTTATTTGTTTCCATTTTATTTCTAATGTATTTTCATATTCTTTTCTTCTATACAGTATTCATTTTTACATTTAAATGTCTTTACAGTATAAAAAGGATTAAAGAACCTTTACTTTAACTTCTTTTTTTAATTTAAACGGGGAGTAAAAGAATAAAAATATTAATTGCTGCACTTCATAAAAACACAATCCTAAAGTAAATTCTTTAGATATTTATTTGTTTTGGAAAGATTTTACTCTTTAGGACAAAATAAGGTTTGCCTTTGAGTGTAATATTAGAGCTTAACGCTGAAAATATTGATAAATTTTTTTAAGAACCTTGGCAAATAATGACACAAAAACTAATGCTTTGAATCTTGACAACTTCACGAGCTACAGTAATTTTATGCTCTTAAGTTTTATATTTGATGATAGAAATCCCACATTATTTCGTTTTTAGAATGTCAAACAAACTCATTACAAGGGTGTTATAATTGAATGTGTGAGAGTTTCTTCGTATGAAAAGCCTGAATTATCGCTACTATGAATAAAACTCGATCCTGGGGCTGAGGATATTAGAAGAATTATTATTACTAGAAGTATTTAAGTACTTCTGTCCAAACATTACACATTTCTACATTTCGTATATTGAGTTTTAGTACAACTCGTAGAACTTATGATAATTCAATTCTATACGTTGACAGGTGCAATGATAAAAAATATTCCCAGAAAAAGAACTAAACCACGAGTTAGGCAGTTTGTATAATGTTGCCGTTAACATTACAATATCTTGACTTAAGAGATAATGTTCTGTGTCATTTACAATTTAGGTTGATTTTTAATTAATCTACGTCATTCTTTAAATTTTCATCGATTTAAAAATAACTAGGCCAATTCTTAATGCAACACTACGAAATTTAAGGGTCAGGTCGGCCCCTTCCATTTGCTACTGTGTGTGACCAATCATTTGGCGTGTCAAATAAACTCTATAATTTATTTATTTAAATAAATTAATTAGTGCTTATTTGCCACGTCCAAAGATTGGTCACACCCCAGTGGCAAATGGAAGAGGTCATCACTTTTATCCAGAAATTAATAAAAAAAAATTAGAACCACTACAAACGTATTACGCATGTCATATGTCATATACACCTTGGCCTAAATTAAATATACTTTAATTTTCCTATATGAAATTTAGATGGGATAAAATGCGCATGATTGAGGAATCAATTAACCATAGCTGCCGCAACAAATTTGGACCGGCAGATCCTCGATTTTGATTGGCTAACGGCCGAGGATCTTCG